GTGGCCCGATCGGGCCACTGAAAAAAAAAGTTAGTGTCGAGCCTTGACATATGTACATGTTACATGTATATGTATGTACATATCACACTGTACAGGGTGCAAAATTAACGGGAGTCCGGAGTTAAATACTCCCTGATTTACTGTCGGACTCCCTGATTTGACATATGCAAGAGTCCATGTGACTCCCTGAAAATTCTGCCACACTAACTAGTTCGTTCCAGAACACAACCTCGCAGAATTACCGTATTTTTTCAGCAAATGTCCAAAGAAAATTTGGCAGACGTGCAACCGCATGAATCTTAAAAATAAGCACACGTGCGTTATTGTTAATATCTTTAATTTTGACCTTCAGACTGCGGACTCCCTCATTTTGCTGCGGACTCGCTCTTTTTGAGGGTAAGGAGTCCGTTGGACTCCCGTGTTCAAAAGTTAAATTCTACCACTGCTGTATGTAATGTTTGTGTCAGCTGAGCAATTGTGTTACTGTGTAACCAATGCTATGCTATGCCAATGGTAGCTCCACGAAGCAGTCATACATCGAAAGACCACTTCAATCAACTCTAGCTATACAAAAACTTATAGTTGGTACAGTTTCCAAACATCGCCACAGCTAGCTTAACATGTAATGATCCAAATAAATCCATAACCTCAGGCTTGCAGTAACTGCGCACTACAGGGCGCTGCTTATTTATACATTATATTATAATTATATGCTATCGTTCTAGACAAAGTGACTGAAAACAATGCAGTCGAAATCATTTGCACATAGCTTGGCTTGACGAAAATCAGAAATTGACTGATGTCAAATTTCACAGCAAGACAGATACACGATGCCACTATATGTAACAATTTAACTCATATGTTTCTGGTTTCTATGTCGCACTGGACTGGCAGTTGCAACGTGGTTTTTTAAAATTTTGTTTGCCTCACGAAATCAACAGCGTATACATTGAGCTGATATTTAAATTATAATAACAAATGTGAAAGTCTATATAGTAAATTAAGTTTTAAAGTTAACACAAAATAAGACTAATATTACAAGATAATTTTATTTCAGATTACATAGTTTTACAAGTTTTTACAGATAAAATTTTTCATAATGGATGCGTGTCAAACTGTGTAGTAATGTTAGTCTCGCAGCCTGGCCCGATTATTCTATGATTTACCATGATTGCCACAGGCAACACTGAACAGCCTAACTAAGTTATGGGGCGACAGGGGACAGGCAGCTAATGTCTTATAGAAGTTGCCACCAGCATACCCTCAATATTGTACCTTCGCCAAACCTTTGCCATTTTTCGGTGATATTTTCTGGCGGCGTTGGGTAACAGTGGTCTTTCTTTGCCCCTCCTACACGACGTGCGATGCTATGGCACCATAGCAAGGCGTGATTGTTTGTGTCCCTGGTAACACTCTTAACTATACAGTAGTCGGCCTAACGATGATAAAACCCGGGGTTAAATAATAATTTAGGGCCTCGGAATGTTACGAAGGACGCTTGAAGGTGCAGGAATTTAACCCATCACTGAAATCCGGTGTCCTAAAGTATGAATAAGCCCGCTGCTGTTAGTGTTAGTAGTGGCACTATACCGGATCTGGCTCATCATACAAGCAACATAAATAAACTTCAATAGTTTGTCTGTTTGAAACTATCCTAAAGGTATAGATCATATATATGTTATAATGTAGATCTAAAATAATATACTAAAGGATACTGTCCATGGTTTAATGTCGATTCCTGCGTTTAGAAGGAGTTCTAGTGAAATAAATATTCGATGACTTGGTCTCCCGTGATCTTTTTGTGTATTTACCTCCACGATGTGACGTCACGAATCTGGCCAACACTAGAATTGATGACGCGGGTATAATCACGGTAGATATATTGCTGTATTATTAGTAGAGGTATTTAGTCTCTGCCCCTAACTACCGTGTACCTGCATAAATATGTTCGTAGGCTTATTCGTTTTCCATGTTCTTTACGTCATGTTTTGGTAATGTCTTTATTTTCTGAATTACTTCTCCATCAATAGATGGCGCTAGGAGGCAAAATGACACGGCGAAATGACGATTAGCCAATGTACCATCTACTGTGCATGCTATCTATTTCTATGGCTGATAATTACATACCATAATATCAGGAGTGAATAATAGAGAATCTCTATATTAGAGAATCTCTATATTAGAGAATCTCTATATTAGAGAATCTCTATTATTCACTTCTGATAATATGTATCCTGTACACACATGATATTATGATGTGTATATGGTATGTAGCCGTCTAATTAAGGGACGCCCACCCGCAATTTTGGGAGCAATGACGAGGAAATGGTTTTTGCGGTTTTTGAGAGATGAACCATTTTGTCAAAAATTAGACGAAAAAATAATGTTATTCCA